GTGGCCTTAATGGACAGGGCTGTCCCGCGGTTCAGGGAGTTTCAAACCCGAACGACGCGGTAGCGCTTGCTGGGAAGGGCTGGTGCCCGGGGACAGCGCCAGGGACTGAAGTTACGCCTCTGTCTCTGAGCTTGCGTGGTCTCTCCTGTAGCTTTTTGTGCTTGAAAGAGCATGGTGTTTCTTGTGTGCTCAGCTCTCTGCTGAGGGTTATCCTTGCCTCTTTTGTAGGTGGTTCTTAATCTTCCAAAATTAGTTTCTACTTGTTGAGCTTCCTCTGCTTAAACATGAATTGTTTTATTTACAGTATCATTGGTCGGTGTCAGTGCAGTATAGCTGATTAATAGCTAAACCCTTGAACGAGGACTAAGCAGTAGCTAAACCAGTGAGGACGATGGTGATACTCGAATTCCAGCAGGCTGACTTGTGGCTTTTCTGCATCAAAATGATGCTCAGACTGTAACATGCTGAATCTCAAAGGTTATCCGTGCAGTCTGAAAAGTTTACGTGGCCCAAGAGGTGACTGTAGTTACCTCTGTCTTTTTTTTTCTTTTTTTCAGGCTTGTGATCACCATGGCTGCAGTGGATCGTTTCTACCTCTTGTACAGAGAGATCAGTCGTTCCTGTAATTTTTATGTAGAGGCCCTGGCTATAGTTGGAGCTTGGTACACAGTCAGAAAGTGTGTGTCTCTTGCGTTTGACACTTACAGCATGCTTAGGTTGCATTTAATTCCAAAGCTGGGCGGCGAGATTGATCTTGTCAAGCAGTATGGAAGATGGGCGGTGGTCACTGGTAAGAGACTGAAGCAGTATATTTGCTTATGTTTCTATAACATACTGTGCCAGTACTGTAAAACTTGCTAGCCTATACTGAGGGGTGAGCTTTATGTCACAAGCTGGGGCCTGTATTATCTCAGGTTGCAAGTTAATCTGCTTGAGCAGTGACAGTTGTTCAGTGCCTTACTAAATTCAGTTCATCAGGAGGTGGGCAAGCTCAGAAATCACAGAGGAATTTTTCCCAAAACTTGCAAGGTACACCCCGAACACGTACAAGCGTAGACAGAGATATGGACAAGATCCTTTTTTTTACTATGGGGTTTTAATATGTGCTCAAGTTCTTCAGCAAGGTGTAAGTCATGTACCTCTGATATCCCCACTTTTCATTAAGGTTCTCCTTCAAGCTGTCTGTTCTTGTCATGGAAAATATAAAACTTGTGTGAAGGGGGATTGCAGAAGGTTGTACTGACAATGTTGTCTTAATGTTGTGGCTTTGAGATCAGCATATTCAGTGCCAGGTGATCTCAGAGAACGGAATACAGCTATAATTGAAAGAACTGTCAAAATTGAAGGCTGGGGCTGCTCTGATTTTCATCTTGTTTTTTATTTTCTATTGCAGGTAGTACGGATGGTATTGGGAAGGCATATGCCGAAGAACTGGCAAAGCGTGGTGTCAATATCATCTTAATCAGCCGAAGCAAAGAGAAGCTGGAGGCTGTATCTAGGAGCATATCTGAAACCTATAAAGTGGAAACAGATTTCATAGTAGCTGACTTCAGCAAGGGGCGTGAGCCTTACCCAGCCATTAAGGAGGCTCTGAAAGACAGAGAAATTGGGATTTTGGTGAATAATGTAGGAATGCTTTATCCCTATCCGGACTATTTTACGACGTTGTCTGAGGATATGCTGTGGGACCTGATCAATGTAAATATTGCTTCTGCTAACATGATGGTGCATATTGTGCTGCCGGGCATGGTAGAGAAAAAGAAAGGGGCAATTGTGAATGTTTCTTCTGCATCCTGTTGTCATCCAACACCAATGTTCACAACCTATGGAGCCTCTAAAGTAAGTTGGGGTGTAATATTTAATGGTATGCACTGAAAAGGTGGTTATAGGTTGGTTTTTGTGTGTTTCTTTGGGTTTTTTAAACATATTCAGCAAGGATATCAAAATACTTGAAGGTTTTCCAGGAATTTGTTCAAATACCGAAGGTGAATGTTACATGTATTATGCAGTAAACTCTTTATCGTCACCAATGCTGGGCTTTGACCCAAAGTCAGTACTATTTGGGTTATGTGTGACCTGTGGTATAACAGTGGTTCTAGGAGAAATCAGAGGAATGATGCACAAAGCAAAGTGGCAGTTCTGTGGCCCATTGAAGGGGTCAAGAATTTCATCTCTCTCATCTTCAGCTCAACTGTGCAGACATAGCGCAAGCTACTTACACACTAGTATTTGGTAGCAAGAGGGGCTGTACTCATGCTCAGCCCACCACTGTGACAAAGGCTGTGGCCAAATCGAGCCACTGCTTTACCTAACACCAAGAACCATAATGCTTCTTACACCATTGTCTGTACCATATTTGGGGAGAAGTGAAAAGAACTTTCCTCACCATAATTATTTCTCCTGATGCGATCCAGTCAGTAAGGAATAGGATAGGGGAGCTGGGCGATGCTGGGAATATGAATGCATGTGGGGATGCAGATTTACACTGGATGATTTGCTGCGGAATCCACAAAAGCAGCTGAGATGGTAGAAGGATCTTGCCTAGATCCAGTGTCTAAACACAAGTGGTTGCTGTAGCCGAACCCCTGTGCAGCCTTGCTCTTGGGATAGCTCTTGTGAGTACTTCCTTTTGCCTGGAGCAAGACCAGCTCTTATTACCCTGAGGTACAAAACTCCTTGCAGATTCTCTTCAGTGTGGAAACCAGCTCAGGATTCCCATTTTTGTTGCAGAGTTCTACCCCCTTGGTTACGCTAAGTATATGTAGAACTGCACTCTGAACTAAAATAATTGAGGCCTGAATGAAAAAGAACAGAGTGAAACCAAATGTACCAAAGTTTCTTCCTTCAGCTGGCATCATTAATCCAGATCTGCAATCCAGTTTAAAGCCTGGCCTTTGAACAGTTACACTGGCACAGAAGTGGGAACAAGCTGCTCTAGCATCCTAAGCCGCTCTCTGTGTGTTAACAGTGTATGGTGTTTGAAGTGGTTGGCTTGTTTTGTTTCTCCTAAAGCAGGTGCAAGGGCATTTGTAGAAGATGCTCTCCCAACAGCTTGCTGGCAATGGCATTTTGGCGAGGCTGTTTGGGAGGAGAAACCTGTTAGCTCACAAGTTGAGTCTAAACTGCTGTGTCTCGGGGGTAACTGGCTGTGCAGCACAGCAGTAGCTTCAGCATGCCATTAGTGTTGCTGCCTTGATAAGACTCAGCCATGCTCATTTTTCCATCTCTTTGATTCCAGCAATCCCAGTTATCAGGCTTGTGCTTTTTTTGTTACTCTGTAAAAGTAAAATGAGCTCAAGGAGATAATATAGATACACATAAACAAATGAACGTTTAATTTTGCACAAGGGAGTCCCTGGAAGTAATTAACTTAGGTTCTGGGGAAGATCAGTTGAATACAAAATTCACATGTAAATGTATTAAAGAATGGGACTTCATTTTGTCCTTTTGACAGTAGTATGTTTAGTTAGCTTTGGAGTGTCCTTGCAATGGCCCCAAAATAAACAAGATATTTGTTTTAGATGAAATAAATGTTTCTGTATTGTTTTTAAGCAGAAATGGTCAGATTTTTTGTTAAATTCACATCAGGGAGTTAAGCAGTCGCTTTGTCCTGCAACTTACTGTACTGTTGCAGGATTTTAACAAACAAATAACAGTAAATAGGAATGTTGATTATACTTTAGAAATGTGGTTTTTTATACTATTTATTCAAGGTTTTATTTTTTTAGCCGATGTATAAAATATGCTACAACTTTTCTGTAGCTTTAATAAAACTCTGCCCTGAGACTTAATTGTTTTTAGAAAAGAAATAAAGAAAAAAAGATGTCTCTCTCTGCTTTTGTCTTTCTAGACCTACTTGGACTATTTCAGTAGAGCACTACATTATGAGTATGCCTCCAAAGGAATTTTTGTTCAGAGTTTAACCCCATTCGTAATTGCTACAAAAATGGCACCTTGCAGCAGCACTGCATCGAAGAGATCTTTCTTTATTCCTTCTGCTGAAGAATATGCAAGTCATGCTATTACTACTCTTGGGTTATCCACAAGGACTACTGGTTACTGGAAGCATGCACTAAAGGTAGCAGAATTCATTAAAATATTTCATCTTCGTCAACAGAAGTACATAAGATGTTTACTGAAGTCTGAATGAAAACTATGCTCGTATTCTGAAAAAGTGCAAAATATATTGTAGTACTTAAAGGCATTGTGCCATATTTTCTCACTAATTCTGCTTTAGAAAATTATGCTCAGGCATACTTATTTTTAGGATGAGAAGGTGAATCCAATTCCCACTTGAAATGCACAGCAAAAATGGGAAAGAGACAACTTCTTATTCGAAAGCACAGAGTATCTCATTTCACTTGGGGTGCTGCTGCCTGGAGAAGCATTTCACTGTCTCTTCTGAACAGAAGTAGCTTTTTTCAGTCTTAATTTATTGAGTGTATTTCTACTTTGGGGAGAGTGGGTAGGGAGGGTGGAATAATAGCAGACACCCCCCCCCCACCACCCCCATTTTTATTCTGAACTACTTGGAAGCAGATCCTCCATAGGTTAGGTTTTCATTTTTGGGGGCAGACTGTTGGCTCCAAAGTAATTTTATGAACATTGGTCAGGTCTCATGTGTCCTACCTAGTGGCTTGCCTATAGCATTAGGTCGAATAGAAGGAATTGAAGAAGTGGGGATTAGTTCAAAAGGAATAAAAGAGATGGGAAGGATTCTGACAAGATGTGGCAATTACAGGAAGTGGAGAATATTGCTGTTGTGAACTTGAACAAACCATTTCAGGATTTATTTGCAGAACTTAACTGTTCAGCCGTGGGTACTATGTCCAAAATGGCTAAATATATTTACTTCCAAGGGCTTGAATTTAAGGCTTAGTTGCTGATGTTCAAGCAGGTTTTGCCTTGCTTTAGTGGTAATTTGAGAAACTGTTTGTTTACTTTAATGGAATATATCTTAACATGTCCTTTCCTTTCTTCTTTTTCTCTTCTCTTGTCTCCTTGTGCCTCTCTGCAGTTCACGTTGGGTGAGCGCCTACCTGAATGGATCTGGGCATGGTTTACAATGTATTTTTGCAGAACTGTACACAAGGAAGCTTTAACATGCAAAGTGGAATAGGAGTATCTAGATGTCCTGCGTAACGAGTACTATATTCTGACCAGAGTGCTGCAAAAATGTTTAGTGAACATCAGAAGTCTGGATCCTCTCTGTATCTTTGTATTAAATAGCTCCTGCACTGCTTTCTTCCATGACAAAGAGTGGATCTAGTTGAGGTTAATCCCTGTTCACTTTCTCGTCAAAGTAATTGGGCAGGAGCAGGTATAGCTTTAATTCTGACAGTAAATGACTGTCTGTTGCATAATGCTACATGATGTCAACTTGCAAAGTTGACAGAATTTGAAAAACCTCCAAATCTGTCAGAAACAGGGCCCCCAAAAGTTATGCTGTTCAAAAAGACAATTCCAGTCAACTGTATTACACAAAGCTACATATTAAAGAAATGTAACTTTTCTGTCTTCTCATGGCAGATGTTTGTGTGTTTTAAGTGCAGATGTTGCTGCTTTTGAATGACGTTATTTAAGGGACTTATCAAAATTAAGGTGTATGGCAAGGTACTATTGACTTGGAGGTTGTTTAAATGACTGAAAAGGTCTTACAGAGCTGTAAAGGAATTTGGAGATAAGGTTGTACACTTTCTTATTCCAAGTGTGAATAATCTTGATAATAGTTTAAATATTTAGCTTCAGCAATCTGAAATACGGCTAGAGAATTGAATAAAGAATGTAAAAACACATTAGCTAAAGAAAAATAATGAATAATGTTTTGATTTAAAAATACTGATTCGTTTCCTAAGATAATAAAAAACCCCCCTCAGTAAGTTTTGATGCTGCATGATTTTGATGCTTTTGTTTATATAAATAAATATGTTTGTGCATATGTACTTACTAGAAGTCATCTGGTATCATACACTGCTTGTATGTGTTGCAGGCTCTACATCTGAGAGTCAGGAAAGCTGTCCTTCCTGCATATGCATAATTGCTACCTGAAAGAGGGACATGACTTAGGAAGAATATTCTCCATCTTTCTGTATTTTATATTATTGTGAGCTCGTTAGTAGCGCTTATGTAATGTTATACTGCAATATCAAACCCATGAATTATCTATGCAGTATCTTACACACAGCAGCATGACTCAAGGAGCATCCTCCCATTTGTGGTAATATTTGTTCCTTGAATGTTACAGTGCTAACAAAAATTCCAGAGGTTTAATTTAGTGAAACTGCCCCCAGCCCTCACGACTGAGTGCTGTGTTGAGGTACCCAGTATAGTTGCTGGGCCATGCAGGAAGATACTGATGCTTGAATTTATTGTCCAGAGGGAAACTCAGGATGTGATTTTTATAATGCAGGAGTGCCCACCCTTGGCACTTTGTTACCGCCGTGTTGCTGCGGCCCCGTATCCTCAGTTCTTTTGGGGGAGAAGACGGGGAGCAGTCAGGGCGGGAATGAGGGGCAGGGACCCAGTCGGTGGTTTTGTCCTGTTAGCTGGCCCTGAAAGCTATTTGTTTCAATTATGCAATATAAAAGTATGTATTAGGTCTTGCTAATAATGGCTTACGGTGGTTTTTTATAATTTTAGCAAGGGCTTAAATGAAGCTTGAGGAAAAGCTGTAGACCATTTCTACTCCCATCCCCCCCTCACGCTCGTCAGGTGCTGCCTGCCC